TCTAGTCCACCATCTTGCCAAAAGTGTAGCTATGCAACCTTAAGCAAATTGCTTAGTCCCTTTAATCCCATTTCTTTATCTGTAAAATGGATCAATCATTTATGGATCACAGGTGGTAGTGGTGGTTATGTATGGTGGAGTTGTTCTGACTCATGGCAACCCTGCATAGAGTTTCCAAGACTAAATCTTTATGGGAGCAGAAAACCTTATCAGTCTCCCACAAAACAGCTGGTAGTTTTGAACTGCTGACCTGTATGAGGATTAATGAAGTTCCTTGGTAAATATCCCTAACTTTGCTGGGTACATAGAAAACAACAAAATTTTCTTTCTCCTCTCTTTTCTTATATAAAGGTAGGTGAAACTATATCATAAATGTTTTTAAGCTATCCCCAGCCTCATTATAGACAATATGCTAAGTTAGAAATGGTAACTTTGGAAATGTTAATTCAGCTCCATATATTAAGTGTACCTAATATTCTCCAGCTCCCTGAATGGGTCATTCTGTATCCGGTGAACATCATAACCTCTGGGGTCCAAAAGCCCTGAATTCAGATCCCAGATTTGTTACTTACAACAGTGCAAACTTTAGCCAAGTTGTTTAACCTATTTAAACCTCAATATCCTCATATTAAGGAATGGTTGCTATGTACACTAACTAAGATAATGCGTGTAAAGTATTAATCACACTGCCTGGCACTTAGTCAATGCTCAATTAGTATTAATTTGTAATAAGTATAAATGTTCAATAATTGCTGACTGTTGTTTCTATTAGTAGTTATTTTTACTCATCATTATTAATAATATCAACATTATTGTGCATTGGTAACCACTGTCAATATGATGTAAAGTTGTTAGCAGAACAATAATGGTATCTCAATGAGCTCTGAGGAATTGCATACCCTTCTAAGTGGCACATATGGAGAAATAATCAAAGCTGTTGTGGTAACTTTATATATCCTCTTTCTACTTAAGAAACTGACATCTTAACTAAGATTAGCTTTTTATTATATATGATTTTATTGTTATTGTGAGGGAATTTGTTGTTGTTGTTTTTTAATTGTGTTTAATTTAATAATTAATAGTATTTTTTTTTCTAATTTGCAGTTTCTGTAACCTAACAACTATATTTGCAATAGAGACCTTTGGATTGATTCTCAGGTAATGACCAGTATCTAATTGGATTTTTATGAGTGACATTCTAAAAGATATGATTGGCAACTGAGAAGGAAAAGCATCTATCCCGCATGTTGTTCCAAAGCATAGCCTGTGTAATGGCTCTTCAGAATTCCCAGCTGAAGTCTTATTACAGAAAATATTACTGTATATGGAAATTCATACTTAAAAAAAAGACAATACGTAGGAAATATTCATTGCAAATCTGACTTTTATAAATCTATATTTGATTTTTTTTCTATCTATGAAATCTGTATTTCCAAAAGACAGAAACTTGCTGTTTTCCTGGAGCCCTAATACCTCTGCTCTACATTTGACATCCTAAATATTGTATACATCTAGTATTGTATTTCACATGTAACTCACTCAAGTAAATAATGCGTACAAGCACATAATGCATATAACAAACATAAGGGAGTTAACATGCAAGGGAGTTATATGGTTTGAAAAAAAAAGATAATGTGCATTATTTGCATAAAATATTAGGTCCCTGGGTGGCACAAATGGTTAAGCACTCAACTTACTAGCTGAAAGTTTGGTGGTTTGAACCTACCCAGAAGCACCTCAGAAACCAGGCCTGGCAATCTGCTTCCAAAATGTCATAGCCTTGAAAACCCTGTGGAGCAGTTCTGCTCTGTACCAAAGGGTGGCCAAGAGCCAGAACAGGCTCAAGAGCAAGCAACAATAGCAATTATATCAGGGACACAGCAGGAAATATTCCTGGGATTTGCTCCATCACACTCACCAGTCCTGGTGTGGTGCTGTGGGCTAATGTGCTGGACTATAAGGTCATTTGAACTGTAAGGCCAGTGGTTCAAGCGCACCAGCCGCTCCTCAGAAACCCTATATAGGGACATTATGGGTGAGAATCGACTTGACGGCACTTAACAACACTCACCTGTCACTGTCTTCCTAGCACACACCTAATGGGCAGATCGTCAAAGGCAGCAAGTGAGGTTTGGTAGGAGACAGTGGCTGTGGCCTCACACTTTAATCCTGAATCCACTCTCACCATTTTGATGTGGCACTGTAGGACCAGCACTGGACTGCAAACCACAAAGTTGCCAGTTCAAACCCACCAGCTTGCTCCTTGGAAACCCTGTATAGGGTCTCTATGAGTCAGAACCTACTCAATGGCACTTAACAACAACAGAAAACAGGTGGTAAAGGCATTTCCCTGTATTCCACTCGCATTCCCTTGGAGAGCGGAGTTTGTTTGTTTTTTAAAAAGTATTGAAATTAAAGTTAGGACCTTAAATGATGTTACTTCTTTGCCTTGGGCCTGATCTTTAGTTTCTAAAATGTTAAACAAAAATGGAAGACAAACAATTTACTCATCACCCTACTTTAAATATTATTGGCACCTTGATTAAAGCAAGAGTTGTTTGTTGCTTTGAAGCAACTTTGAAAAAACACGTATACTTTTTTTTACAGGGACTTCTCCTAACTCAGCTGATATGTTTGATTTAGGTGAATATTAAGAATATTTGTTGCCAGTTGACTCACAGTGACCCCAAACAACAGAGCAGAACTGCGCCATAGGGTGCTCTAGGCAGTAATTTTTATGGAAGCAGATCGCCAGGTCTTTTCTCCCAAGGAAAGCCTAGGTGATTTAAACCTCCAACCTCTCAATTAGCAGATGAGAACTTAATTCTTGCTCCTTTTACTAAGAATACTATGTCCACCCAAGTATCTACAAACAGAAGAGGAAGCAAGTGAGCTAGGGAGGAAAAATAAAAGAGTAAAGAAGTAGGATCTCACTTCTTTGCCCAAGCTCACATCTAGTATCTCACTTCCAGTAGTCAGGGAATATGGATGCAGCATAGAGATTAATCCATTAGGTTAATGATTGTATTTTTGACTCTGTTACACCTGGGCTAGAAGTTACCCAAAGGGCAAAGTAGGGACTAACTGGTGGTGAGTATTCTCCTAATGGTTGTGGTAGTGGTTATGTGTCGTGGAGTCGGTTCCAACTCATAGCGACCCTGTACAGGGTTTCCAAGGCTGTAAATCTTTACAGGAGTAGAAAGCCTCATCTTTCTCCCACAGAACAGCTGGTAGTTCAGAACTGCTGACCTTGAGGTTAGCAGCCCAACTCGTAAGCACTACGCTACCAGAGCTCCTATTTTCCTAATAAGAGAGTCATTGTCTACAGGCAGAGTCCCTTGGTAGCTAAACAGCACAATCAAATCCTAACTGAAGAGTTAGAGGTTCAAGTCCATTCAGAGACTCCTCAGATCAAAGGGTTAGTAATCTACATGTGAAAAAAATCAGCCAGCAAATACCAGAGTATGTCCCCTGTGACACACGTGGAATCACCATGAGTCAAGATCAACTCAATGGCAACTGTGTCTGTTGTCCATGAGCAGTTATTGGAGATCAGTTTGTAGGAGGAAGAGTTGTTATTTTCTGTTCCTAACCCAGTCCTTGACACTTCCACCCAAAAATTGCCCTCTTATACAGCAAACTCACCTAAAGCCCTTTCTTTTTCTTCTTAAATGAAACCTAAGATAGGGTAAGGTTGAAAGATGGTCCAGGAAGAATCTGAAAGGCTATAGAAAAGAATGACAGAAAGGAAGGGATGAATTGTCTTTAAGACTAAGTAAAGTTAAGTGAAAAAACACACATTTCTACATACAAATTTCGTGGTTAGGTGGGAATATGGGGCACAGGTTCTTCGCTGAGGACATTGCTTCACCTTCAGCCCTCTTATACCCCTAGGTACCTCAAAGCTCCTTTACCAATTCTAGATTCTTATTTCTCCTTGTTCTTGTAATGCAAAAGAAATCAAATCAAAACAAAATACACCTTGATTCTTTAAGGCTCATACCTTACCCTGTAAATCTTCACAGAATCAGACAGCTTTATCTTTCCTCCTAAGTGGCTGGTGAGTTTGAATCACCTACTTTATAGCTAGCAGTCCAACCTAACCCACAGTACCAGCAGGGCTCCTCGTGACATCTGTCATATTACCTGGCTCTTCTTGTCCTATTGCTGTCCTCCCCAAACTCCCTTTGTTCATTGACAACTTGGCCTTGTCACACTGTTTTCCTCTCTATATTAAACCCAATCATCAATGTCCACATGGCTAACTCTGTCCAACATCATGCCCTTTCCTCATCTTGGGACTTCTCTTCCTCTTCTGCACTTCAGCTGTTCACTCGCATAATCATACTTTGAACAATGATGTTGTGCATAACTTTTCTGCTTTCTAAAGCATCATTTGAAACCTCTGACCACACATCCTCTCCTTCCACCTTGCTAATTCAACTACACCCACTATAATCCTTCTTCCTCCTTGGGGCTTCCATTTCAGCTTTCAATTCATCAGCTCACTCTTGTTTTTATTTCCCATTTCCTTACATTTTTAAGTGTATTGGTTCAATAATACTCTGTAGGGCCATTACAAAATACCACACAGAATTAATTTTGTTATAGACCTAAAGGCCAGAAGTTAGATTTTAAGATTTCCAACAGCTATGCACTTACACACACTCTCTCCTTCTCTCTGAGGGCTCTACAGAACAATCCTTCCTTTTTCTCTTTCAATTTCTGATTGTTGGTAAGTGCTGTCAAGTCAGTACCGACTCATAGAGACCTTATGTAGGGTTTTCGAGACTTTAAATCTTCACGGGAGCAGAAGGCTTTATTTCTCCCACAAAGCAGCTGGAGGCTCAAA